AGAAGAAAAAAAAAAGATCCGTTTTCAGAACTGAAAAGGTGAAAATGAAAAAAGGTTTTTTTTCATTTTCACTTTTTCAGAAAAGACAAAAACATTTTTGTTTTTGTTTTTCAAAAACTTTTAAGCCAAACACATTTTCAGTTTGCATTTTCATTTTTTAGTCTTGAAAAACGTGAAAAATGAAAATGAAAACATAAACAAATAGGCCCAACATTTTTGTTTGGAGAAAATAATATTCAAAACGGCATGTTGCTCATATCATGATTAGAGGTGAAAATTTGGCGGGCCAAATGGACCGGCCCTACACTTTTGGCCCGGTTCCAACCCAGTCAAAGCTCATGATCGGGTCAGGCCCATGTTTTGAGCTCGGCCTGAACCAAACACATTTTTTTTTTTTTTAGGTTTTCCTAAAAAATACCTTATAAATTTCAAGTTGGGCCCATCGGGCTTTAAGGTGGGCTGGGTCGACCCTCTTCCTTTTAGAACTTGGCCGTCCTGACACGGTGAACATAACAAGTCAGAACGGGCTGGCTTGAAGTGTCAATCCGACACGGCATGTCGCTCATATCATGATTAGAGGTGAAAGTTTAGGCTGGACAAAATAGGTCACCTTGAGGCCTTACACTGTTGGCCCGGCCCAAGCACCCAGGTCAGGCCAGACTAAGATTTTGATCTCGAAACCTTATTCGGGTCGAGCACCTTTTTAAAGTTTTTCTTAAAAATACCTTATAAATTTTGAGCCGGATTCGTCAGGCTTTAGGGTTGGGCTGGACCGACCCTTCTCCCTTTAGAGCCAAACTGGCTCGACACGATTAAAATAACTAGTAGGGCCAGCCTGAAATCTCCATTTAGACCGTCGGGCTCGGGCCACGCAACTCGAAGTTATCTTAAAAGGGACGTTTGGTACGCATGAAACATTATGAATTATATTCCTAAGAAAGTGATGGAGTAATATGATTTTCAGAAATAATACACTACTGTATTTGATTCTATATATGAATCTTGTCTCAAATTTTTAAGAATAATAAATTACTATATTTGGTTGTACACGAGAATATTGTGTATTAAAGAAAAACATTGGTTAAAAGATTCAAAAAAAAAAAAAAAAAAAGCAGAGGCAACATAGTATTAATGAGAAGTAAAACTTGTGATTTCCAACTTTTCCAACTTCTAAAGAAGCTTTCTCAAGGATAAAGATAACCCCATTCTTGTTTCTGTCGTTTTTTTCACTTGGGGCAAGCGGAATTCCTTCTAAATCAACTGAAACAACCTCTTCTTTTTCAGCTTCTTCTATATTTTCCTCTTCTTTCTCAACTTCTTCTATATTTTCCTCTTCTCTGTCGTATTTCTCATTTGCCCTTTTCCTCTTCTTCACTTTATCCGCATATGACCGTCCCATTCTTAACCCTCACTGTCACTCTGGATCTACGTACCAAAAAATTTTACAAAAAAAAAAAAAAAAAAAAAAAAAAAAAAAAAAAAGTGATTAAAAAAAAAACCCAGTAAACCCAGAAAGTAATGAACCTTAAAAAAAATGCTAAGAAACCGCAAAACCTTAGTGTTTTTTTTTTTTTTTGCTAAAACATGTCGGAGTTAATTGTTCAATTCTGTGCATAGAATCGAGGAAATACTGATTGTGTTCCAAAACAAAAGGAAAAAGAGTGATTGCATAAAGAAGGGTGTTTTGAAGGAGACGCATGTATTACCTGAGAGGCCGAAAAGATCGAGAGATTTCTGGGTTTCTCTGGTTAAGTGAGAGACGAGTTTAGAGAGGGACGGAACCTTTTCATGGTTGGATTGACATGGGTTTGTAGCCTTGAAATTGATTTTGGGAGAATTTGAAACTTTTGTTGGTGAGGAAAGGCTGGTGCGTATTTTGGTTGGGGGAGAAGAACAGTAGTGTGTTGGGTGTGATTGCCATGCTTTTGAGATTGATGGCAATATTTAAGAGACCTCAGATAAGAAAATTCATATCATAATTTAAATTATAATTCATAATTTATTATAATATTTTTTTTTATAAAAAATATATATAATTTTATAATTTTAATTTATGAATCAAACATCTCTTTAGTGTTATGTAAATTATTCCATTTTAAGATAAAATAAATTTGATGGGATGGATATTTCTAAAAATTTTAAAATCATAATTTTTATATCAAATATAATAATGTAAAAAAATTTTCATTCACACTTAAAAATTACTCCATACTAAACGCCTAAGAAAATACTCAATCTATGTTACTTAAGTTACTGTGTGGCTTGTTGCGCGCTAGAAAACCATACTAGCTTTCCTTTTCTCTCTCTATTTTTTTTTTTTTTGTTAAAACTCGTTTGTTTATTGTCACTTTTTTTTTTTTTTTTGAGAAAATCAATAAAGTCTAAAATAAGTGAGTTTTTTATAAGATCAGATAAAAATAAATTATTAATAATTTTTTTTATCAAATTTATATTAAAAATTATTTATTATATATATATTTTTAATTTAATATAATTTTAATTAAATCTAACCATTAAAATTCCCAGCGGAGAAGGTCCACTCAAATAAATGGTTAACTTGTACAAATTTTTCGTAACTGTACTTGTAACTCTCTTCCATCCCTCAGGAGTCGAAAACTGGATATATATTTATCTTGTGCCGAATTTACACATGGGACCCACATCTATCAGAGAAAGCTACGGCTAAGGATGGCGCGATTTATTTCAGAACCGAGCAATAGAAGATGAAACAGAAAAAAAAAAAAAAAAAAAAGGCCCAAACGAAGAAGAAGAAGAATTCAGACAGAGAGCAATGCCAAACTTAGTTCTTCACCGGCCACCGCTCTCGCCGTCCTTATCCCACCGCCACGCGCCGTCGTCGACATCATCATCATCGGTTTCATCAACATCTTCACTGAGCTTCCGATTCCGAACCCTAAGATCAACTGCCCGGATTCACCCAGCCAGCCATGGCGCGGTGATAAGGTGCATGGCGAAGCCGCGGAGAGTGGCAATGGTGGCGAAGCAGATAAGGAGGGAGCTCTCCGATATGCTCCTCACCGACACGACCTTGCAGTACGCCATTCTTCCTGAAGCTGCTCTCGGAGCCGACCGATACCTCTCTTCTCTCACCACCATTAGCGACGTCGAAGTCTCCTCCGACTTGCAGGTACGGCTTTTCGGTTTGATTTTGTCAAATTTAGCTGTGAGTTCGTTGCTTTCCGTTTGTGTAATGGTGAGAATTTGAGGGTTTTGATGTAATTAGGTTTGTGTTTAGTTCGTTTCATGAGGTTAGGTTATGCCATTGCTATGGAAGAGTCAATGAAACGAACTTTTTTTGGTGTATTTTATAATTGAAAATCTAGTGGGAATTGATGGGCGGTAATGGTTACTCCTTTGTTAGTAAAGTAATTGAAACGGGATTAAGCAGAATTTGATTTTTTTGCATAGATTTATCCGCAGCTGTAGAACAATTAATTAAGAGTCGGGGAGTTAATTGGGGCATTTTGATGGGGATTGGGGAAGAGGAAAAGTAAAGTTGAGGACTAAGACTCTGTTCTATTTTGGTTGAGGATTGTGTATAGTTCGATAATACCATGAAAATGTGGTTCTATCTTTGGAGCTTAGATTAGAGAAGTCGGGCTGAGTTTTTTGAATATGTAGAAAATATTGTACTATTATGTGCAGTAAAAGACTAGGAGAAGTTATCTAGGTTGTTTTCGGGAGATTTTTGCGAACTTGGTATAGCCAACCTCTGAAATCTTTCAAAGAGGGCCTTGCTTTATTGATTGCGTGAAGCGTAATATACTTGACATTATAAATGTTGAAAATCATAGGTGACCCCGAATTCTTTTCATGCTTGAAGAGGCTTGATCATGCAGGAAACCCAACATCGAGTTAGGTTCTTTTGACTAGAGGAAGCTAAGAAGATAAAATGGAGTCACGTTGATTTTGCCTTGAGTTATAGTTCTTCAGATTCAATTTAGTCATCCCGAATGTCAACTTTTCGTAGTTTCTTTTCATTCGTGAAATCAAATTGATTACATTATTTGAGGCGGAAGGATGTTTCAAATAAAAAATGGAAGAGAAAAGAAAAAAGTTGGTGGAAATTCTAGATACTTCTTGATCATTGATCATTTTTTAATCCACTCATACTCATTCTTTATTATGTTCTGGTTTTGTAATTTTCCCCCCACTTTTTTTAAATGCTGTAGGTAGTTAAAGTTTATGTGTCTGTTTTTGGAGATGAAAGAAGGAAAGAGGTTGCCCTTGCTGGGTTAAAATCGAAAGCCAAATATGTTCGCAGCGAATTGGGAAGGCGTATGAAGTTGCGGTTGACTCCTGAAATCCGCTTCATAGAAGATGAGTCTTTGGAGAGAGGTAGCAGGGTAAGCTATATCCACATCTCTCTCTTTCTTGACATGAGCGATTATTTGTAAAAACTTTTATGAAGGTTTTTATGACCCATCACCCTTGTATTTTGGTTACAATTTACAGTATGAACTTAAGAGAGTTTTTCATAGATTGTTTATTTTTGCATTAAGGTTCCTATAACATTGAAGCAAAAATGCTCAGCTGTAAAAATTACAACAGTGCTCCAACCATTTTATTTGTAGACCTTGTATAGTATTACTGGAATGTGTGAAAAATATGTTTTTAGTGTACTACTAAAGACATGCCTCACATGAGCTTCCAGTATTGTCTATTGTCTTCGTCGTGTACAATTTCCTAAAGAACTGACTCCGGTTGAGGTAGGCATCATCTGATTTTCTTGTATATTACTCCACCTGATCTGTGGTTGCCCCCTATTATCTTTAAGGATTTTGCAAAATGATGGCTGTTATTATGGTTTGTCTATCATACTGTAAGGAATCTGATTGGTGGGGAAGAATGTTTGTAACATGTAAAAGCTTTATGTGCTGCAATCGAGGTTTGAAGTTATACTAACCAGTTAAATTTAACTTTTTCAGGTGATTGCAATTTTAGATAAGATAAAGAATGAAAAGAAGACTGCAGTTATTGAAGATGATGAGGAAATTGAATCATCTGATGCACCTCAAGATGACGGAGATTGGGAGAGTGATGATCCTGACGAAGACATTATATACGTCAAATAGTTCATCGCCTGCTTGGTTAACATTTTGCGTTGTTGACCAAGGCATAGTTTTGGTTGTCGCAGGTTAGTCGTATTTTCAAGAGTTCCACTTAAATTACCGTGCAGCTATTTTGTCATTTGTGATCAATGTCATAATGTTCACTTTGTCATCAATAATTTAATCTACTGTCTTCCGGGATTAAGCTATATATACGTATTTATGCTGCAGTTATCTTCATAAACAGATTAGGAAGCTAAAAGAATTATTATTATTATTATTATTATTATTATTATTTTTTGGCTCGGCATAATAATATGTACTTGTTTGACCTATGTTGCATATTTTATACTTCGAAAAGAGAAGCAACTGTTGTTAACGAACCGGTGTTGAATGGACAATAATTTTGGATAATAAGCTAAAATACTTCTTACTTATGTAAAACGTCATTGCTAATTGTTACCCTGATTTTTAGTTGATGTATGAATGATGGGAATCAAGCAATAAACTGAAGAAAGTTATGCTTCTGAACTAATCCTGCAATTGAGCCCTGCCTTCTAAATATACTAATGCAGAGGACCCCAATTAGGCAATTACTTAATTAATGATTTTCTTTGTTACGGTTATTGTACACTGGCAGGTGAGTACAGACTGAGACTTTGATTATACTATTTATGTTAACTGTTGACGGTGAAATTTAGTCAACTCAAAATTAAACCTTTCCGGGAACACTCGCAGACGTCTCTCATGAATTAATCAAGAAAATAAATGCAGACAAACATAGGACAAAAGTTTATGCAGGAGGAGGATATGCGTCGAGAACTCCGCCTACGCCGTGAAGTTCACAACGTCGAGAGAGCTGTCTGGTCATATTTAAACTAAATCCCGCCATCTCAGGAAGAGATTAGAAGGAGGATATGCGTCGAGAACTACGCCTAAGCCGTGAAGTTCACAACGTCGAGAGAGCAGTCTGGTCATATTCAAATTAAATCCCGCCATCTCAGGAAGAGATAAGCTACAACAACTGTCCATATTTGAATTTGGAAATCAGATAACCGATAAGGGTAATTGCCCCGATTCGGTCGTTCAAACGTGGTAATACAACTGTTAAATCACGAGATTTAAGGGGGAGGGGATGATCCCCGCGCGAGTGGAGATGAGGTCTCTGATTTGTGAAAGGCCTATAAATAGAGTTTGCCTCCTCCATTTAGTTTTTTACGCACTATTTTACTACAAGAGAGATTGTTACTCTAATAAGATTAGTGCATCCACAAGTGGACGTAGGCAAAGAATTTCTGCCGAACCATTATAAACTTTTGTCCTCTGTTTTTCTGCATTTATTTTCTTGATTAATTCGTGAGAGACATCTGCGAGTGTTCCCAGAGAGGTTTAATTTTGAGTTGACTAAATTTCACCGTCAACAATTGGAGCTAGAAAGAGGGCCCAGACCTAGAAATCAAATCCAGCAATAGCAGCGAACATCCCACCGAGAAGAACTCGTAGTATGACGGCCAATTAGAAAAGCCTGGAAGGCCAGAATCCTACTACTGAAGGGAGGAATCCGACGAATCCATCCAACGGCAACCAGGAACCGGCGGGAGTGCAGCCTAATCACAGGGTGAATCCACCAACCACTGGAAACCCCCAGATCGCCTTGACCTGCTTCAAAAGCAGGTCGAGACACTTGCTGTGGCCGTAGAAAGAATGGCCACAGCCCTCGTTGAACGGGATCAAAGGCCGAATTCGATGCCATCGCTAGAGGATGCGCCGATGAATCCAGTAAACGCCGCCGCCGGGAACCAAACAATTGGTGACCAGTGCGTCGATTTCAGCGATCTCAACAAAGCTTGTCCCAAGGACAGCTTTCCGCTCTCAATGATAGATCAGCTGGTCGACGCCACAGCGGGGCACGAGCTCTTATGCTTCATGAACGCTTATTCTGGCTACAACCAGATTCTAATGTTTTACCGGGACGAGGAGCACATGGCGTTCATCACTGATAGAGGCCTGCATTGCTACAAGGTCATGCCCTTTGGCCTGCAGAATGCAGGAGCAACCTACCAGCGTTTGGTCAACAGGACGTTTGCAGATCAGATAGGAAAAATGATGCAGGTGTACGTCAACGATATGCTAACAAAAAACAAGAAATCCGAAGACTGTGGGGCACCTCAAGAGGATGTTTGACGTCCTAAGGATGTATAGAATGAAACTGAATCCCCTCAAATGTGCATTTGGGGTCAAATCAGGGAAATTTTTAGGTTTTATAGTGAGCAGTCGAGGAATTGAGGCCAACCCTCCTCGACATGAAATCACCAAGAAAACCAAAAAATGTCCAAAAGCTGACGGGTTGTATAGTCGCACTCAACAAATTTATCTCAAAATCTACGGATAAGTACATACCGTTCTTTGATACCTTGAAAGCAAGCCATTTCAATAGACAGATGAATGCGAACACGCGTTCCGACAATTGCTAGCCTGTGACCGGAGAAGTGCTAAGTCTATATCTAGCAGTTTCGGAACACGCCGTTAGTTCGGTGTTAGTCCACGAAGAGAAGGTGCAGCTGCTGGTGTACTACACTAGCAAGTGCCTCCTCGACGCAGAGACAAGATATCCGCATATGGAGAAGCTCGCCCTTGCGTTAGTGGTGACATGAAGAAAGCTGCGTCACTATTTCCAAGCTCATACCATACAGGTCTTGACAAACCATCCTCTCAGGCAGGTATTACAAAAGCCCGACGCTTCTGGAAGAGTTCTTAAATGGTCCATAGAGCTCAGCTAGTTCGACATTGACTACAAGCCGCGGGTTGCCATTAAAGGTCAAGCCCTGGCTGATTTTGTGGCGGAATTCACAGGACTGTCAGATGAAGAAGTAGAAGTCATCGACGAACCACCAAGGTGGAAACTCTACGTTGACAGGAGCTTCAATGATAATGGCAGTGGAGCATGATTGGTGTTACATACCCTGGAGGGCTACAAAATAACCTCAGTCGTCAGGTTTGAATTTTCCGCCTCTAATAATGAAGCTGAGTATAAAGCACTATTGGCTGGACTTCGATTGGCAGAACACTTGAAAGTGGAGGCTAGACATCTTCAGTGATTCGCAGCTGGTTGTAAATCAAGTGAAATATCAACATCAGACCAGGGACGGAAAAATGGCAGCCTACCTTGAAGGTCAAGGAGGCCTTGGGAAAGTTCACGGCCTATGACATACAACAAGTGTCGATGACAGAAAATAGCAATGGTGACGCACTTGCCAGGCTAGCTATCTCAAAGGACACTGAGTTGTTAAAACTGGTACCCATAGAAGTTCTAAAAGCCCCTGCCATCGAGGGAAAACTCGAAGTCATGCCGATAAACCGTTAACCGAGCTGGAAGAACTTATTATCAAGTACTTGGTCGACGGCAAACTTCCTGAGGACAGGCGGCAAGCAAAAAAGTTGAGGTATCAAGCATCGAGATATACTATTCAAGGCAATATCCTTTACTGAAGAGGTTACTCGACGCCCCTGCTCATATGCCTTGACGAAGAAGAAGGAAAAAAGGTACTCTCTGAGATACATAACGGGATATGCGGAAGGGTTACTACTGGCCAGATCTCAAAAAGGATGCGGTCGAGTATGCCAAAAAATGCGAGAGCTGCCAGAGGTATGCCCCCATCCCTCGATTGCATTCAGAGGACCTCACGTCGATAGTTTCTCCTTGGCCTTTTGCTAAATGAGGAATTGATATAATTGACCCATTATATAGAACTCCTGCGGGGTATACATTCGCCATTGTCCAGTCAACTACTTTACGAAGTGAGTTGAGGCTAAGCCACTAACGACTATATTAGAGGAAAAATGTACAAATTTCATATGGAACAACATAGTCTGCCGATTTGGTGTTCCACATTCTCTCGTGTCAGATAATGGGAGACAATTCAATAATAACAATACCAACCAGTTCTACGAATTGTTGAGAATCCACAAGAACTTTTCCTCTGTATTATACCTTCAGTCCAACAGACAGGTCGAGACAGTCAATAAGATTATAAAAGTGGCACTAAAGCGACGGGTCGACAGTAATAAAGGAAAATGGGCCGGTGAGTTGCCAAAGGTCTTATGAGCGTACAGGACGATCAACAGGACTACCACAGGGGAAACTCTTTTCTCTGGCCTACGAGATTGAAGTGGTCCTTCCGGTCGAGATATCTGTTCCTACCAGCCGAGTGATACGGTATGAAGTGGATAAGAACACTGAGCGAATGGGCTTGGAGCTTGACCTATTGGAAGAAAGGCGCACAGACGCACAGTTAAGGCTCGCCGCGTATCACGCAAGGACTGCTAGATATTACAACCAGAAGGTCAAGCAAAAGCGATTCAAAGTGGGAGACCTTGTCCTGCGAGTAGTGACCCCAAACACTAAGCCCAATAATTCTAGCGCCCTAGGACCAACTTGGGAAGGTCCATACAGAATAAAGGAGGTCGTATCCAATCGACTCACAGAACTGAATGGTCGAAACATCAAGCACACCTAGAATGCAGATCAACTGAAAACCTACTACCAATAAAGGGGAGAAGGGTCGACCATAGAGTTAGATTTAGTATTTTTCTTATGCTCTGTTTTCCTTTTTGCTTTTTTGCATGCTAAAAAGTCGATTTGTAAATTCTACATAAATATAAGTCCAATTCAATTCTCTACTCATTTGATTGTGTAAAATAATACACGACCAATTACTACATTGCGTTCGACTTGATTCTACTTATTTAAGATCTACAATTCTGTTCAAATGATTATTTACGTCGATCAATAAACGTCGACCAATGTTGCGCCAAAGACAAGTTAAAATTTTGGGCCCGTTCACTTCGCTGATTCGAGTTTGTAATTCGAGTTGAGATGTGATCTTGTGCGAGAGCTTTTTACTGTAGCAAAAAAGTTAGATGTGACTGTTTCTGAGAGCTTTTTACTGTAGCAAAACTCAAATCGGCGAAATGAACGGGGCCTTTATCTTTTATGAGGGGGCAACAAGGCTATGGCCACCCTAAAGTCCACACAGATGGTGAGCCCGGGCTTAACAATACTTAGCAAAAAAAATATATATCACATATCTACGACATTCATGTGCAAAATACCAGGAAAAAATGAAGTCAGGCACATATATATAAAAAAAAAAGTCTCGGCCTTATGGCCATTACAAAATGACAAATTCAAATGTCTTGACTTTATGGCCTTACATCACCAAAATAAAAAAATAAAAAAAAAAATGCCCTAAAAGCGTTGCCCCATCTCCCGGTGTCTGCTCGGCATCCTCAGCTTTTGGTAGTGGCTTGACGTCCCCGGATGGCCTAGCCTCTGTCTTCTCTACCTCCTCCTCATCGGACTCGTCGAGGAATGATAAGTCCACCTCAAGGCGTTTCTTCCGGAAATGGTTGAGAATCTGGTCCCCAGCAGATTTCATCAGGGACAACTGGAGATCCTCAAATTCATCGGAGGCTTTGTAAGCCTCCAGTCTTTGAGTGAGGAGACCTTCAAAATCAGCCGAGGACTTGAACAACTCCACCTGTTGGTCGACTAGGTTCTTGAACTCCAGGGAGGACTTAAAAGTCTCCAATTGAGCGTCGACCGCTCGGCGGAACTCATCAGAAGCATTAAACTCCTCAATCGCTTCCCTCTTCTTTTGCTGGAAGTTGGGAGAGGAAAGGTACGCCTCGACCGCTTTTGAGCTCCCTTCATTGACGCCCTTCTGGAAGCTCTCCCTTGTTGCCTCGACGATCCTCTCCTCAAGGGATTGGACCTTGGCCTTCTCGACCTGCAGGTTCTTGGCGAGTTCAGTCCGAGCGGCGGGGAGAGCTGTCAGTTCCTCCTCAGAAGCCTTGGACGAGGCATCCTGCTTCAGCAGAGTCTCGAGCTCTATATAATTTTGGAGTGTGACCTCAAGAGCCTAGACAATAAAAAAAAAAAGTAAGGATGTTGACATGAAGTCCAGACATTTAAAGATATGGGTTGAAGGGTGAGCAGGCAAAAGCATACCGAGACTTGGCGCATCACAGTTATGCGCTGGCGCTCCAGAAGGCCCATCCCCGCCAACCTGTTCTAGGAGTCTTCATGGAAGTACGTGTAGATTGTCTGGATGGGAAGGCTGAAGCGAAGAGGAAGTCGGAGAGCCTCGTTGAGGTGGTGGTCAATCACATCGGACACCTGAAATTGAGGGTCGTTAATCTTCGACCTTGGCATCACAAGGGGCTCCTCAGGTGCAGGGGGGACCACCAGGCTAGCGGCCACCTCGACGCCTTTCCCCTTGTCCAGGTGCCGAATGCTCTGCGATGACCCCTCGACCGCTGGGGAATCTTGGCGCTCATCCACCCTTTGTCTCTTGGAGGGTGGAGTTATCATAATCCTCGATCGGTCGAGGACTTCAGGGACATTGCTAGCAAGGGCAACTTGAGTCCTTGGCTGGCACGCTGACTTGGAGGCTCTGCCCTTGTTCTTCGATTTGCTGGGAAGAATGTACCTCATAGTGGATGGCACGACTGCAAAACAAGAAAGGAATTTGATTCTAAATATGTCGACTATGGTGAACCAAATTGCACCTCTAGGTTACCTTGGAGGATATTTGCAGCGGGGACGACTGGTTGGCGTTGCGGGTCAAGAGTGACGAGTATACCCTATAGCCTACGGTTCTCCGGTGTATTAAGAACGGTAGAGCTACGGCTGGAGCCAGAGAGTGACAAGATTTGCCTGACCCGTGCTAGAGTAGTCGAAGAAAGCTTCGGTCGAGAAGGAACTTCACCTGCATTCAAAAACAAAATGTGAAAGATAGCTCAACGAACAGAAACGATTCTATAAAGATCCAACAAAGCGAAGACCTACAGTATTTGCTGAATATTGTCTGAGTCCCTAAGGGACGCTCACCGTCGAGCGGGTGAGAATTGAAGTTGCTGCCGAGAAAAAAGAATTGGGGCTTCCATCCATAGGAACTGGAAGTCTTCTCGATAATGATGGAGGGAACTGGAGGTTTGGATTTAGAGTGGGAACATAAATAACAAAATCCCCTCTGACCCGAAGAACCCCTAAGGGCATAGCAATATAAAAACTCCTCGACGGTTATGTCGAGGTTCAAAATTTTTCTCCACAAAATGATCATGGAGTTTATTGTCACCCAACAATTGGGTGACAACTGTGCAGGAGAGATCCTATGGAGGCTACAGAGGGCCTTCACGAATGGATGGAAATGGACAGTTTGTCCAAAGGAAAGGGACCTAGTATATATAGTCATATGGTTAGTAGGGGGTTTTGAGCTCTATCATTAGGGGTAGGTATGATTGAATAAAAATTATTAGCGTCGATTCTTGTGTCGCGAAATGCTTTCATGGCAACTCGGGGCTTTATTTTGGATGGGTTAACATCAATCACCATCCCCGAGAGACCACTTGTCGACGCTACCCCATAGCCACGACCTTCAGAGGGGCCGACTCATAAACCGTCATCCTCATCATCGAGGAGAATGAGCTCGTTTGGCTGAGAGGTTAAGATTGACCCCTCGGCGTATTCTTCCACTTGGCGGAGCAGAGAATCCCCGCTATCGATCGACGCCGTGCTCAACGTCCCAGCTTCCTCAGGGTCCTTTCTGACCCTAGAGGTGGAGACCTCTCGACCTCTATCCTGTTTTGACAGCATATTCTGGAAATAAACAAAAGGGGGTCAAGTTAGGGCCTAATGGTAGAGAGGTCAGAAACAAAGAGAAGGAGACAAAAGCGAGTTTGGATCAAAATGATCCAAAAGTCTGGTATTGACAATACCAGATTCATACCAAAAAACCCAGAAATGGGCTTAAAACCCAGAAATGAGGAAAAACTCGTGTAAGGGTCTCCAAAATCCAGAAATGAGTCCGAGAACCCCAATGTGAACGACTAAACCCAAACAGGTGCTACCACAAAGGTTCAACCCAGATTCTTGAGCAACAACCGAGTAAGTTCATTTTACGGTTATATTCTTTTCTTTAAAATGTTATTTTTTTTGCAGGGATAAGTTCAAAATCACACTATCAGAAGTAAAAAAAAAAAAACCAAAACAACTTATTAGCTCTTGAGAAATGGACTGAGAGCCTGAAGATTGAGGAGAAGAACGATGTACGACGAACGTGCACGGAAGTCGAAGTCGGAGAAGGGGATGATCTGGAGAAAATCCGGCAGAGTAACGACGTGTTTTGCAAATAAATGTCCATGAACCGTTCGAGGAGTATATATACTCGAAGAATGGAAACCTAGAAGTCTCAGGGAAGCCCAAAGGACTTCGAATCTCGACCATGGAATTTGAACCGACCCCATCCAACGGTGAATATGAAGAGACGCAATCTAACGGCTGAGAAAAGAGCAGGAGAGATGAAATCTGATCCAACGAATGCTACTTTCCCCTCGACTACCACGTGTCATCAGGGGATGGGAGACGCGACTGCTGACATGATCGACAAAGACTGCTCCACTACCCGAGAAACTCGCTGCAATGACGGTACTGTACCGACAGGTAGCCGCCATAACCTGCAGGCGAAGAAATTGCCACATAATACTCTCGACGCTTTATAGCCTGAAACATCACAACACAGTATTCCAGGCTAGGGGGTAATTGTTGCACCACGGTCGAGCAATCGACCGCTCCTTTGACTGCCAAGCGCTGAGACGTTCTTAGTCGAGAGTTGGTCGCTGACGTCGAAGAAACGGTTATACGTAAAATGCCCTCAAGATGACGAGAGTTCATGCATGAGGAGGATATGCGTCGAGAACTCCGCCTAAGCCGTGAAGTTCATGACGTCGAGAGAGCAGCCTGGTCATATTCAAATTAAATCTTGCCATCTCAGGAAGAGATAAGCTACAACAACTGTCCAGATTCGAATTTGAAAATCAGATAACCGATAAGGGTAATTGTCCCGATTCGCTCGTTCAAACGTGCTGTCAAATCCTGAGATTTAGGGATAAGGGGATGATCCCCACGCGAGTGGAGATGAGGTCTCTGATTTGTGAAAGGCATATAAATAGAGCCTGCCTTCTCCATTTAGTTTTTTACGCACTATTTTACTACAAGAGAGATTGTTACTATGATAAGATTAGTGCATCCACAAGTGGACGTAGGCAAAAAATTTATGCCGAACCACTATAAACTTATGTCCTCTGTTTTTCTGCATTTATTTTCTTGATTAATTCGTGAGAGACGTTTGCGAGTGTTCTCAAAGAGGTTTAATTTTGAGTTGACTAAATTTCACCGTCAACATTAACCATTATTAACAATCCACTTTCGAATTAATTTCATAATTGATAGTGAAATTGCACGTTGGATCTGATTTGATACATATGTACGCCATTCTAAAAACTCGTTGATTTTGGGCGGGTGAATTTCAGCAGCGTGCATGTCACTCATCTGCAGTCCAATTTTCCATATGATTTTGATAACTTTGCTACTGATTTTGATGAATTTAACTTTGAAGGATAGGATGCAAACAAAGCACGCAATGCAGAGATGGAGAGAGAGCGGGAAATTGTCTCCTTCCAAAAAGGAGATATACTTCTGAATGCATTATTAGACTGGATGATCTCGCATGAAGTTGTTTTCCTGCCAAAGAACTGTTGAGATATGTGTATCATTATTTCTCTTGTGCATAAATAACACACAATGGAAGTTTCCTTTTTGCTTCTTGTTTACTAGTTTATGTGATAGTTTTCTGCGGAATGATACATTCTTGAAGGATATTAAACGATTCCGATGGTATTTTGAGGATGTTTGAATAGCCATGACATGTGAAAAGGATCGGTCTTCTTTGACCATAGGAGGCGGTAAAAGGTAGTTGTTCCATGGATTAGATAATGCGACGGATAAAATTACATAAAGATCAGAGTCTTCTTTGGTCTGTTCAACCACTCAGGTCTAAGGGTTTGTGCTCGGCCATCTTGCTCCGCGCATTTTGATGAGGATATTTAACTAACCTAAAATAGGGAGTGGCATGGTCTTGTGAGCATGAGTACACTTCATCAAAGCTTTCCTCTAGGATCTCCTCCATCCTCAAGACGATCGAGGTTCTTGTCCGTGCCATCTTAGTACATCTACTTTCACTCCATAAGTGGGAGGTCCGGATATATGCTTGATGGTGCTCGTTCTAGCCGAGTAGGTCCATTTTGTTTTCTTTTTAACTCAATTCTTTCCTACCGTCAATTTTCTTGCCTCCCACCCTTGGAGAGTTAGCTGGGGGGGGGATTCTTGGCCGTTTACTGAATTGATGGTTGATATAAGTTCAGTAACGACTGCTGTTAGGTTCTCCACCCAAGGTTAAAGCCTATCATGGGTTTGGGAACGAGGAGCAGACTGGTTATCGCTTCCTCGCCGATTGCTTAGAACACCTTCATTTGTGCAAGGTGGTAATTGTTTCCACTAGAAGCCTTGTCGCTTGCCATTACAAGGGAGTAGTAAAAATTCAAAAACAAACAAGTACATGTGAACGAATTTCCGTTTAAATGCCAATAAGAGTTTTTGTTAATAGTCACGCAAGGCACTCCTAGTTTCAAAATATCGGTGCAAAATTATGCCCAGCACCAAAAACGCATTTTAGACCTTAGAATTGATATGAAACAAACCTTTGATCAAGAACACATATGAACAACTCGGTCAACATCAAGAACTCTATAAAACAAATAATAACTATACACCAGTGGGCTCTTGTGCTTAAGTTAGTAAAAGCATACTGCATACCTTACATTGCCCATTCTGAATATTGTGAATACCCAAAGCAATTCGACTCTCATCTAATCAATCACAAGGCCTGTTGATTGCTAGAATGGTTTATTTCATTCATGTTTGCCGTTCCAGGAATACCCAAAGGTTAGCTGAAGTTCTCTTTTGCGAAAAGCTAAAGATTTAGAGGGAAAAAAAAAAAAAAAAAAGAGATTACACATGTTTATGATCTTTAGTTTTTGGCTTGTTCCCCCTTGTCCAACGCAACTTTTCCAATCTTGTAAGCTCGGGTACAGGTCCAGAGTAGTTCTTTACCTGTAGATCAGGAACAAGTTAAATAATAAATATTATATCATGCAAGAAGAAGTTGCATATATATGTGTGTGAGAGGACAAGTTTTTAAGGGTTATGTTTTTATTAATAATTATCCATTAAATATATAGATTTGATAATGTGACTTGATAAGAATATAATCTTATTAATTTTCATAATTTTTTTTGTCAATTACAGAATTAATTACAACTATTAGATTAATATCTTGCGGTTAAAACAATGATACTCACTATGGATAAATATTAGAAGAACAATTAAAATCACACCATCTATGCAATTAAGCGAAAGCCTTATTTTTTAGACAACAGACCTTAGCTCCTTCGGTTTTTTTTTTTTTTTTTTTTTTTTATTTCAATAAGATAAGAACTTTTCATCCAGAGCAAAATTATAAAAATGTTCATATGGAAAAAATTGGCTCACCAATGAGTAAATAGTGGAGTAACAATTAAAACCACACCATCTATGCAATTAAGTGAAAACCTTATTTTTTATTTATTTATTTTAGACAACTGAGCTTAGCTCCTTCATTATTATTTTTTTTAATAAAATAAGAACTTTTCATCCAGAGCAAAATTATAAAAATGTTGATAAGGAAAAAATTGGCTAATCTGATTGTGACTCCTTGGTCATTAAGCTACATCTGAAAATGAATATTGCTCAAATGAAACAGCTTGTTTACCTTACTCTCCAGCTCAACCTTGCCAATTAGTATTATATTTACCAGTACACGTGTTTAATATTCTTCATATAGAAGCTACTGTTATTTGCATTTAGAGCTATGAAATGATCATAATTAGCCAAATAAATACATGCATATAACATACATAAATGCACACACACACATATATTTATAAATACATAAATATATGGAAGGTTTTTAATGGTCACGTAACTTGGCATTGGTAGAGGCCCCATTTTTGTCTATGCATTTCAGACATACTCCTTAAACTACTGATTTAAACGTCTCTTTGCATCTACTTTTGCATTGTCCATTCGAATGACAATGTCGATCATCACCCATCGGAACCACAGTTATCGTTCCTGCAACTCTCGTGTCCACACAAACCAAAATCCAGAATTAGACTACTACACAAGTAAAAATCTGTTCATTCATAAAAATTTTGGTTCATGTATACTAATAAAGTCTCTATAGAAGGTAAATTTTATAAGGGAATGTTAGGATTAATTCTGAGTTGTATTAGTTCAGATCAACAATCAAAATTGTATAAAACATCGAATATTGGTTGGAAATAAGAAAATATGTAAAAACCTTCATCTTTCGAATCTTCAGATCTCTGAAACTCAGAAACAGTCGTATGATAAGCTACAAAAGACTCCTAATAATTATATTATTGAGTTCTAATTTCCAAACATAAGGTGACAAAGTAACTAACCTGAATGTTCAAGGAAAATGAGCAATATTGAGATGTACAATAAGGAAGAAATGGATTTGGAAATCTTCCTTTTATGGAGGAAACAGGGAACTATAACTGCTAGTTATATTTAGATCTTTAAAATAAATGGACTCAATAATAAAAGGCTAGAATGTATTTTAACGCGTATAGGAAAGTCACTTTGTCGCGGTGCTTTCAATCTTAGATTTATATTGCTAGCCTAGCTATTATCTTCAACCTTAAGTTAATATTAATTTAAAAATTATATAGCCAATAATAAGGTAACAAAGAACCAAAAAAATGTAACAAGATGTTGGGGAGATTTTCCACTCCTATCGTAGGATCACCTCACCTGTTAATGACTGTATTAAAATTAACATCAAGAGTAAGCCCAGTTAGAAAGGGATGCTCGTGACAGACCTTGCTTGAGGTATCAGATCAATAACGACCTCGATCACAGGCCAAGACCAATGTCGCTAAAGAACTCTGACGCATCAAAAAGTACTGGGTTTGAGGAAAAGACATGAACGACACGCGCGAGAAGGAAAGATCGTCCCCAAAACAAGGGCGCACATTCTCCTTTTCCAAGAATAATACGACCACTAAGAGTGCAATACGTGTAAAATAAATAACGGAATTGAAAGGGACATATTCCGGACTGGACAAGTTCTTGTGACCTTCTAAAGTAAGGAATATCTTAAAAAAATTCTAATCAGGTAATGATCGGTGACGCGTCATAACACCACCGTACAAATAAAATGCGATGCATTCATAGCCCTCAAGCAATTTTCTAAATTATTCTTCTATCATTCTATTTTAGTCTGAATATTTATCTAACTTCTCTGTTTGGTAAGAAGGAAAGAAAATAGGAGGGAAAGAAAAACTATAATGCATAGAAAATTAGAAGGATAGAAAAGGTTTTGATTTTCCCTTGACTTGTTTGGTATGATAGGAAGGAAAGAAAATGAATCTACCTTCTCTTGTTTGGTATTGGAAGTGAAACTAAGGAGATGGAAAAATTATTATTGGTGTAATTATTTTTTTGCCTAAATATTTTTTATTAATATTCTTTTCTAATAAAAGTATAAATAATACAATATTCAACATCAAATTAACTCAAAAAATTCATGTAACTTGAACATATATTCCATCTATATTATACACACATATACATATATAAAGGTACAAAAACATAGTTTAACTTATATAGCATTAATGCATCATTTATTTTTTTAACGTTTAAATACAACAAAAGAGTAGCTAGCTACAGTTTAAATACAACAACTTGTCGAAGGTTCAAATACAACAAAAAAATGACTAATATACAATGCATCCACTATTGTAAAGTAAGCGAAATTTTCCACAAAAGTATTAGTTTGTATGGTCATATATATTTCTCAATATTCACCTGCAATCAAGTATTAACAAAAACTATGTGCGATCAACTAAGTACCATATAGATATATTTACTAAAAAGGCTATAAACTGGTGTGACTACTAAACTTATAAACCATATGATTTCAGTCTTCATTGTTGTACATCATCTTCAAGAGCAAGTCATTAACATACAACATTGATATTAGACAAAAAAAAAAAAATGGACGAGCAAATTGTAAAAAAAAAAAAAAAAAAAGAGAGAGAGAGAATGAAACAAGAAGAAGCAAGGCAGTGAGAGATTAATTAACATACAAGATATTAGACAAACAAAAGCAAAAAAAAAAAAAAAATGGAAGAGCAAATTGTAAAAAAAAAAAAAAAAAAAAGAGAGAGAACGAAACAAGAAGCAAAGTAGTGAAAGATTTATTTTCCTTTCTAAAATCCTCCCACTTTTGGAGAGATTAAATATGGTGGGACCCACCCATTATAATTTCTTTTTAATTTTTTTTTCCTTCCCAATTTTCTTTCTACCAAACAAGTTAATTTATCAATTTCCATCATAAAATTCCTCCAACATTTTTTTTCCTTTCATTTTTCATTCATATCAAACATAGTGTAAGTGTTAGTACTTTTGCAGGACACCCAAAAAGTAGCTGATCAACCCTCTGGAGGCCGATGTTTGGAAAACCGTGCAAACACAAGCCATTATCCCGTCTTAGTTAGATAAAAGTCACATATATATTTAACATACAAAATGACTAGCAAGTTTGCAAGAGCAAATACCTACCTCAAATGATTTCTTGATCTGTTTTATAGCTTTAGCCACGTGTAAGTGTTTGACTATAAGAAAGGCTACAACGCTACAATAAAGTAGTTTTTCCGACACCAAAAACAACCTTTACCTTGTAATATCTTGCATCAAAAGAGCAATTTGACCAAGAGCGTTCTACCCACGTAGAACACCAGGATGCCTGCAAAAAAAGACAAGTAAAACAAACGGCACAGTGCCGTATTGACAGGTGGCACTTGATTCTTATGTCAACAATCTTAAGAGAATTTGATAAGAGTTTTGATCTTGTAAAAAAGTATGTACCTTGACCTCTTAAATGAGAGGAATTTATAAACCATGAAAGAAGACCAGTAGGTTGTAGAGTTTAACTCCAATATAATCGAAAGATTTATTTATTTTTTCAATTAAATGCACCCCTAACAAACATTATAATACATATTTACACACACACATTAATTTAAGACTCTAACAAAGCATAAAACAAAAATTTGAAAGGTCTTTTTCTTAAAAAATAAAAAAAAATTCCACAAAAAGAATAAAAAAACAAATTCAAAATGAAAAGGGGAGAATTATTATTTTAGTAAATTAGTTGAGAGAATCTCGAATAAAATCCAAATTAGTGTGTCAATGCTAAATTTTAATATTTGAGTAGGAAAATCACTCTCAATGCTATAGTGTTATTGATGTTAAATTTTTATATATACTATAGTACTTAGTGACAAATATTGACATTTGATTGTTATTGGTTTGATGCATCTACATTTTCATTCAATTATGATAGTATTGACTTTTTAATTTTTTTAAATTAAAAGTATACTTTTATAAATTTCAAAATTTAATGATTATGGAAAAAAATAGATAGAGCATTTTAAATATCATTATGCCTTAAAACACATATCAAAATAACATTTTAAATATATTATTTTTATACTTTTTGGTTCCAAATATAAAATTGTCAATAAAAATACTATGTAGAACACCAAGAATCCTTCAAAAAGATAAGTAAAACAGAGAACAACAGTGGCATACTAACAGACGGCACTCTGGTGCTTAAGTCAACAAACTTTAAGAGAATTTGATAGAGTTTCGATCTTGTAAAATGTATTTACCTTAACCTATCAACGTGAAATAAATTTATAGATCATCAGAAAAGACCAATATTAGATGTGAGTTTAATTCCAATATAAATGATTATTTCCGCATTTTTTAAGCACATTAAATGACATTTTTCTAGAAAATATATTTAATTAAGCGTCGATTTTCTAGAAAACGTCGTCTAATGTACTATTTGTAGTAGTGCGTAAATAATCTCATGTACTTCTACTAATTGAAAATTATTTCAGCGAATATATGGTAAGTATTAAAGAAAATAAATGATAAGTACTAGATCTTTGTAGTTGGATGCAATTCATTTATGCCTTTTGTGATCTACAAAGGGAAAATTGACATTAATCAACTTATTAACCTCAAACCATTCCCTATAGTCTCTTGAGGATATGTTTTGATTAGCCATCTTTAAAATAAAAAAAATAAAAAAAAAAAGAAAAGAAAAGATCTGTCTATGATCACTTGGGGCGTTAAAAAATAGTTGTTCCATAAATTATTATACAATTTGATGGATAAAGAATTTTGAATTATTTTAAACCGTCCCTTAAGGTAATTTAATTCCTTACTAAAACATACGATATCACGATTTTTAAGGAATTGATTCAGTTGAATAAAACGAGTTTATCGGGCTTATCGATAGTGCTAATCCATATTTGGATTCGTGTTTCTGATCAATTTTCCTTTCGCCACCACAAATATTTGCTAGATGGCAATCAAGTTCGATTTTTTTGTCTTGGTTTTATTTTTCCCTATAAATAGAATGTTTTTCTTAATATATTTATAATATTTAATTGACAAAAGGACATTGTTCAAAGAAGCAAGGTCAAAAACGAGTAATCAGAAGAGTTTTTTTGGGCGCTTCACACAACTTTAAAAAGACAAAATTGACCTTAAGCTAGATATGCTTAATTAGTGATTAACTCGAGTTCTGACAAAAGGTTGATTTGGTATATCTTAGGGCCTGTTCTGTTGCCTTAACTCACTCAAATTATCTGTACTCAAGTGAATAACTTGGGCGTAATTTGCGTTCGTTCTTAGCTCGCTCAAACCAACACTTGAAAATTTATTCGAGTCAACCACCCATTCTCAAGTTTACCCCTCTCCCATCAACTTGAGTTGTCTCTCCTCTCTATCTCATCACCATCAATATCATCGTCAACATTTTCTCTCTCTAAACTCCTCCATTCCCGAGCTCTCTCTCACATCCCCACCACCACCAAGTCCATAAACCTCCGATCCCACGCCTTCGCCGGTGACCCATTTTCTCCTTCCCAAGCTCTCGAGACCCTCAATTTAAATTATGTATGTAGTGAAGGCTTCTTTTTTTTTTTTTTTTTTTTGTCTGGGAAGAATGGGTTGGTGCGTGAAGGTTTTTTTTTTTGTTTAATTATTGTTTAGAAGGTTTTTTGTTTTGGAAAATTTTTATAAATGGCTCTCAATTTAAATTATGTATGTAGTTAAATTGATAATGTGATATTTTAAATTATATAAAATTAAATAAATTTAAATAAGGAAAAAATATTTTTTTCTCTCTTTACTATTCACAACTCAAGTCTTATTATATAATCAAACACAAACTCAAATTATAACTCAAACTCAACTCAAAATTTACATTCAAATCACCTAACTCAAAAAGGGCAAAAGAATAAGCTCTTAGTTCTGAGAAAAGGTTAATTTGGTAACTTTAATTTGAGTTAATACTAAGGTGAAATATGTGTTAAAATGTGGGGCTCATTCGTATGATGAAATACTAGGACAATTTTGTCCCTCGCTGTTACAGGATGCTAAAATCGGCAAGTTCTAGAAAAGTACGTTGCCAAACAGAGGCAAAAGAGTAATGCCATAACGCATCGTCGCGCAAGCGTCTATTTTCCCTATTCCCAAATTTCTTGTTGGGTTTCAATCTGATTAGGGATTCGAACTTTCTCAGAATTTTGCCAGTCCACTTCCTCGTTCTCCCGCTCTTTTGGTGAGTCTTTTTCTTTCACTTTTTCGTTTTTCTTTGCTTTCTTGTTTCGATTAAGTCAATTTGTCTTTGTGTTGTTGGGTTGGTTTCGTTTTAAAACAATTTCTTGATTTCTTGCGAGTTAAACTTTGCTTGGCTGATGAAAAACTTGATGTCCGAATTTTCTTTTCTAAACTTTTCATCTTAGTTTACCATATTAATATGATTACTGTTATAATGCATTTTGCAAATTTTCCAATTGTTAATTGGGATTTTGAATATTGAGGTTGAGTTCGTTAATGCTTTATGGAATTTGCAGTTCTTATTGAGGTTGGGAAAACTTTTGAGAACCATACCATATAGATTTTATGAATTGGGATTTTTTTTTATTAATGAAATTTGGGGAAACTTGTTTTTATTTATTATTTATTTATATATTTATTATTATTATTATTTTTTGATACATTGTGGAACTTGTTTTTAATTTTACTGCTCATGGAGATAAGTTTTCCCAATTCTGTCATCTGTGTATGGGTTTCCGCATTTGAAGTTCAAGGGCTATTCTGAGATAAATAATAATTTTTGGGCCCTCAGGACAGCAATTCCTTTTTAAAACAACTGCACAAGGCACTCACTTGTCCTGATATGTCCAACATTTAGACAGAATTGGACACTTTTGAAAGTTCAGGTCTTGTAGTCGTTTTTAAGTATTTTGAGGTAATCCTTGTCATTGGGATATTGAGATCGCTTGAGTTTCCGTTAGGATTCAAGTTAGTTGGTTAAGGGAGTTTGTAGTTCGTTAGGATTCGGTTAGCAGTTAGAGTGGGTTAGTAGTATAAATAAGAGGTTTAGTTGCAAATGCAGGGGTAATGACTGATTTGTGGGAAATTGGGGAAACTTTGGGAGAACTGGTGGTCCCTCGAATACCACCACTGTTAGGGTTTTCTTTGTAATCTTTCAATTACTTCATCAATAAAGTTCTACTTCGTTCAATTCTCTGTTTCATGTAAAAGTCTTTATCAGTTTCTTGGAGCTAAGTTGCTGGCAAAGATTAGGCCTTAACCACAGGTTTCCTGGAATTTTAAATTGTGATCAAAGCTATGTGCTTGGCGAAGGATGCCCAGTTGGTTATTGTTTTGACTTTTTGTTTTCTTAATAGGAGACAAAAATTGTGTTGAAAATCCATCAGTCACAAGGACATGGAGTTAAAAGAAAATTTAAAGAGAGAAAATTATTGTTATTATTATCATCATTATCATTATCATTATGTTTGTTAATTTTCTTCTGCCAATAGAATAACCTAGTTAGCAATGAAAGTATATAGGTACAATAACTTGACATGAGGGTAGGATTACCTTAACAAAATTGTTTCTTTTTGTTGTTGTACTTTTTCTCGTCTCCCTGGATAATTGTTATTCTACCATTACAACAACATGATAATGAGATTAAATTGTTATTGCACAGCACCAGGTGCACGCCCTACTTGCGATAATGTCTGATCCTTATGAGAAAGTGAAAGGAAATAGACTAGCCTTCAAGGGCGGAGGTCTAGCCACAAGCAGCAAATCCATCAGCAAGAGTAAGAAAAAGAAGAAGAAACAGCTTAAGGATGATCCCCAAAACGACGTTGGCACTGAGCCACAGGGTGTCGAAGCTTCTGCAAGTGGAAATGATTCAGGTGGGCCTGGTGAAGCGTACACTATTGATGCTGCAAAGCGCATGCAGTACGAGGAACTGTTTCCGGTAGAGGCCAAGAAATTCAGTTATGATCCCAAATACAAAGTGAAGCCCGTGGAGGATGCTCTTGACGACCGTGTGAAGAAGAAGGCTGATCGCTACTGTAAATAATGTCCTCTTCTCATGTAATTTGTAAGGATTAGTTTGGTGTTAGAGATTTATTTTTCTTGTTCTCGGTCTTTTAACAGATTTTACTGATAAATTCAGAGGATGCATGATAAACTAGTGTTCTATATAACAGATTAAAAATTTGGAAGGAAAGAAAGATATGAATGATCTTGTTTACTAATTTGGTACATTAATTGTTGCTTATTGTGTGACATTATTGGCCTTGTGAAGACTCTAAGGGTGTGTTCGGTTAGGTGGAAAGGAAATGAATGGAATGGAATGGAATTCAAGTTTGATGTTTGATTAGATTTATAAGAAATGAATAGTCATTCAAACTGAATGGTCATTCACCCATTTTGGATGATTCATAATTCATTCCTTACATGGGGAAATAGGCATTCCAAGTTATTTTATTTGTTTTTTTTTTCATAATTACCTTTTAATATTATAAGATAATTAACATATATTATATAGTAGTTATATCTTATAATATGTAATATAATATAATATACAATAAAAATATTATAATATAACATAGTTATAATAATATAATAATTAATTTATAATATAGTTATAAATTATAATATATTTATTTAATATTCTATAATAATATATATAATATATTATAACATAATTATATCTTATAATATAATATATACTAATATTACAATATATTATAAATAATATCACAATTATACAAATAATTCTAATATAATTATTTTATCAGAATATTATATTATAATCATATTATATAATATTAATATAATTATGTTCATTATATTAATAATAATATAATAATTAAATATTAATATAATTTTATAATTCTAATATTATTATCTATTATAGTGTATTACACACGTTATGGTTATATAATATATTTATTTAATATAATATAATA